TGGAGGCCCTCAGACATACCAGATGAGAAATAAGCTAGTGGCTACCACCCGACTCACATACGTCACTTTTCTTGAAAGCGTTTCATATGTAAACAATGAGGGCTCAGCTATGAAACAAGTTACACAACAGAGTCAAGTTGGTGTGTGTAGAGCTTACTTACAAATCTCAGCTGACAATATTTACTAGGAAGAGATGTCATTTGAAAAAAAAAAGGAAAATTACAGAATTTCTAATAACTCATCTTTCACACTTAGAGTAGGGGAACTTTTTTCTAAAAATTAAGTTTAATTATACAAGAACCATATTTCCTGTGTAAAAGTTATAGAACTAGTATGATGCCACAAGGCAGACACAAAAGGCGATGAAGCTGATGACTTCAAGTGATAACACACTGGTGACCCCTGTAGGTAACTCTATCAGTCAGGGAGTCTACAGGAAACTAATGGCACATTCAAACTTGGCCACTACAGAAGAATTTAACAAAACTATTTATGAAGGGTATAAGAAGGAAAATCAACAATAATCACATAATTTATTGTTTAAATTGTGCCACCTTTAAGGGTAAAAAGAAGCTTTATTAATAAATTATGCCAGGACAATGGGTATAGACAGGGTCTGGCCCAGCCAAACTGCAACACTCAGAATAGAGCTGTACCCTTAGGCTAACAAGAAGAAGGGGCCATTATCACCCTTAGACCTAAAAACACAAAGAAAGGGAATGGTTACCAAAACCTGAAAGGTAGCAAGATAAAAAGATCCACCAATAGGAGCCAGGGCCCTCAGGAGAAGAAAACATTCAGTTTAAGAGAAGCCAACCTGGAGGGAGTGGGTGAATTAAAATTCCAAATTCACTGTTCTCCTGCTCCCTGATTGCTTGCCAAAATCTCCCATTGGCTGAACCTAACCAGAGGCTGGAGGTCAAGGGAGCCTATTGATGCCATTCTTATGGGCCAGCTTCCCTAGAGTATAAAGCAGGTTAGGGAAGGGTAGAGAGTATATCTGCAGGTACTCAGTATAGTAAATATCTTTGCAAAGGTATTAAAATTGGAGCTATCCTTCACCTCTGACCTCCTTTCCAACTCTTTCGACACATTCTAAGAAAGCTCAGCTGTTACCATTTTCTGAATGATCTTCTTCCTGTTCATTGCAGAAAAGTAAGCAAGATATTTTACTTCCAAATGGCTGAGGGTAAGACTGTTTCTTTACACATGAAGGAGTGCAGTCCTTAGGTTTTCATTTATTTGGGTTCTTTTACTCCCTAATTAAAAAATATGTGAGAACATTTCTCAGCCATAGGCTGATTATGTAGGTATCTTCAGCCATGGGATAAAATAAAATAAAATGTTTTTTATTTATTTATTTTTGCATTTGTCATAAGAAACTCTCTCACTCCACTTTCTGGTCTAGAAACGTCCCCAAAGGATCTTAGAGGAAGTATGGAGTTTGGTAAAAACAATCAATGGTTCGAAACAACAACAAGGCCACTTGAGTACAAAAGCGAATGCAAAATTAATGGGCAAAATGGACATGTACCACAGTCATCACAAACCATACACTGACCACTTCACATTACACAAACAGTACACCTGACTATGACCAATGAAGGGAGAATATAAGGAAAGAAATAACGTTCGCTTCTGCAAAGTGTGGCCCATCCTTTCTGCATAAGTGAGAACCAAGAGGTGGAGTGATTACATGACCAGCATCCTGAAAAATCTATTGTAATCACTTTTCTTCCAGGCCTAGCTACTGGAGAAAGTGCATTTTCACACTTCCTAAAATATTACCAAGCAAATTTTGGTGTCATACACTTTTCTTACTCTATAGTAGAAGATATCTCCCCTTTCATCAGTAACCCATATGACATCCTTCCCATTTTTAAAGTATGCTTTAAAAAAGTAGAAAATTTTAATGAAAAAATAGCACCTATTTTTCACTTACAACTTGGATCTACATCTTCAAACACAGACTGAAATTTGCACGAGGACTAGGCTACCTTAAATATTCAGGATAGCTAAAAGAAGAGAAGGAAAGTAAATCTTAAAGGAGGTAGGGAAAGAATGAGTAAGAGAATGAAAAAGAAAGAAAACTATTATTAAAAACAGTAACAAAAATACTAAAAAAAAAAAGAAAGGAATGACAGATCTTTCTAGTGAAGGTAAGAGAAAAGAGCTGTGTTATAGGTCATTTTCTGGCCCAGTTCATGCATGAGAGTATTGCCTAAGCTTTCTGAGTAACCAGAGTGCTACAAATGATCTCGCTTCTGTTTCCTACCATCAGAAAGACACCATTCTTGACCTAACCTAGTATTTCCATAACTACACATATAGATACTGTTCACACCTTCAGCATTTGAACAAATGGAAAGAGAAAAAAAAAATGGAAATCTATTCAGTCCACCAGGAATTTTCAGAGATTCCCTTATCTGAGTGGTAGCCCCAGGCAAGCCATAAGTGGGTTCTAGTAGGAGGGCAGCAAAAAGCTACCAGGATTTTAAAGAAAAGAAAAAGAAAAGCTCTCTCTAGAGAGATTCTTTCATATGAAATAATTTGCTTCTTAACAATGATCTTCAAAGGTTAACATCTTTTAATTTATTGAGGATTTATTGACTATTATTACATGCAGTACATAAGACTGTCCAGTGGTGGTTAAGATGACAACCACAGGCATAAGAAAAATCGGCTTCCCTAGCAAACTGGTAGAACCCTCCCCATTCTCTCCTTTGCAGTGGTTGCTTGGAAAATCAGAACCACTTCTGAGCTTGTCCTAATCCCCCAGTTTTTATTTTTTTAAAAAAATTAAAGTATAGCTGACTCACAATGTTACATTAGTTTCAGGTATATAACATAGTGATTTGACAAGTCTATTCCTTATGCTATGCTCACCACAAGCGTACCTACTACCATCTATCACCATACAATGCTAATTCAGTACCACTGACTATATCCCCTGTATTATACCTTTTATTCTCATGATTTATTCATCCATAACTGTATGCCTGTATCTCCTACTCTTCTTCACCTTTAATTCTCTAGTTCTTAATAATGTTTTTCTATGGCTTCTTATACCTGATTCACACTTCCTTTAATTCCTTGGTTTCTTTCTTTGGCTTTATCTTGACTGTTTCTTACCTTCTGGTACCAATATGGTACCAGATACTGGTAACAATTACCAATACTGCAAGTCACTTCAAATGTTTTTGGAAAAAGTAAATTGATGTTGAACAAATCAATTATTATAAAACATTTCTTGCTTCTAAAGACCTCACAGTCTAATAAAAAGATAAAGTTGAAAAATATTATTGAAATATTACACCATGAATGGAGATCATAAAAGAAAAACCCAAAATAAATATGTCTTAAAGGGGAATGACACCACATCCAGTAGGACAACACTTTTCTAGCGAAATGAATACTGAATGACGGGAGAATATCAACACCTGAGGGTGTGAGGCTGGGAAGAAGAAAGCTTAGGGCACATTTAGAGCATATTAAAGTCAGATACTATTTGGCAGAAACCTAAGAGAATGAAGAAGATAAGGCTGGAAAGACAGCTGGGAGCCAAGTGATTGTATATGTCAAGGCAACTGGGAGTCTATTGAGCCGAAAAATTATATGATCAAAGTGATCTCAGAGGTCACATAGCTACAAATAAGGAAATTAGGGGCCCTGGAATAAGTGTTTAGCAGTATGTTTAAGAGGCAGAGATGACTTCCAGGATGCGTGAGGAGGAGGCACCCTGTCTGCATAATCTCTACCAAGACCCACACAGATGCAAAGTTGTAAAAGAAGAAGCAAAAGAAGGGAGGAAACTTCGTCACACCCTAGAAAAATGCAAGTTGAACCTCTCAGAAGGCTGCAGTCTTGTGTCCCTACTGCCATCAGCATATCTGAACCCAGTGAAGAAATCTGTCTCTAGCTCCTGCTTGCTGACCAGAAACACCTCTGATGTCACAGCAGATGAATCAAGCTCTGGCATCATCCTACAATACCCTGAAAAGTTAGTGATGGGGAAAGGGACAGCGAGATTTCTTTCCCAAAGTATGCTGCTATGACAAAAAACCCTAAACTTGAAGGATTCCAGAAAAGCCCATTTGGAAGTCATCGGTGAATCGGCGCCTTCCTGTGACTCGGATTAGCGCCCCAGTTTTTATCCCCAGGCTTTAACTAGACAACTGGGTCCAGCTGTACTGGTATAGCTGTTGGAACCTTTTATGAAAGAAAGTTCACTTCTGGCCCGAGTCCCAACCCCACCCCACCGCCTGAGTCTGTGCTTTTCCCGCCTCCCTCGCCACCCCCTGCAGTTGTTCCCAGGCACCGCGTGGCCTGTGACCTTTGCTAGGACTCACGTGGGGCGCTCTGCCTCAGCGGCTTCGGCGATGATTCCTAGGAACTTCCCAAGGACGAGGGTTCTGCAGGCTCTGACACGCAAGGGGTGGGGGTGAGGGGAGGAAGAGGGGAGCTGGTTGTCTGGAGAGCCCAGAGCGGCGCGGGCCAAGCTCGGGCGGAGCGGGGTTCATCCCCCAGAAGCCCAGACAGTGTCGGCCTTCCGTCCATTCAACTCCTGTTGCGGTTGCCACAGCCCAGAAGGCAGCTCAGACATCCTCTCCGACTCTGTCCCTGACTCACTTCGGGGCGCTTCAACTCCCTTTTCTGGATGAACAAGGGTTTGCAAGCCACAAATCCGCGCAGGCCACCTCGTTGTTTCTCCTGTCCCTACAACCCGCGCTGGCGCTCAGACCCGTGGCAACTGAAGTAGTGGAGACTGCGCAGCGCGCGGCTAAGCGCCTGGGACGCACGGGCGCACGAGTCCTGCGCGCCTCCGGAAGCGCCGCGCGCTGGACAGCACCCTCCCAGGGCGCGCACCGTGGCGCACCACGCGGCGCAACGCGGCTCCGCTTCTTGTGTGGCGCCCTCGCCCTTCCGCTGGCCTTTAGAGCTGAGAAAATGGATTGGCGTTAGGCTTTGTGGTTTTAAGAGTTTCTTGACACCTATAGAACATGCTAGAGAAGACCGCAGCCCCTGAGGTGCCCCCAATCAGCCAAGAGTAGGCGCTTCTTTCCTGAAGTGGATAAGGGTGCTTTGAAAAGTGAGTGTTTTGAGGGCGAGCCCCATCAGATCTTGTTCCATTCATTTCAACTTCGTTATCACCCCCATGCCTGAGGTTCTGGTCACTGTTACATTTTAATGCCTTCGCTCGGAGGTGGAGCCCAAGCCTGAGGCTGTGTCCACTTTCCAAAGCATCCCATTAAGCAAGCACATGTGTTTTCTCAGTTGCCACAGAGGGAAAGAATCTAGTTGAAAGTGGCCAAAAGAAATGCTCAGGGTATACGGCATGTGTAAGCATCGGTACTTAATCCTTAGAGTGGTTGCCCTTTGGGGGTATTTATTTTCCAATCAGAAAGGGGCTTAGCTATGGAAATGGCTCTTAGGAGAAAGATACAGGCATCTGTTTCTTAAAGCACTTTCAGGTACACATCAAGGGTTTAGGACAAACATAAAAGGAGGAAGATGAGGGAAATTCCTGATGATTTTACCAATGTGAAAATTCCATAGATTTGGCTAGTTCTAGTTTTTCTTTCATGTAATCAATTCAGAATTCTATAAAGGAAGAGAATGACATCAAGGAAAATCATTGGCCTAGAAGAAAAGAGCCCGTAGGCGTTTAGGTGTTATATATGTGGAGCCAGAAAGCTCTGGAGCATCAGGGAGACTCCAACTTCAGGCAACAGCATGGGTGAATATGGGCTTCATGTGCACTGGGATCGAGAGGCAAAGAGTGGTGTCTGGGCACATAACTCTAAGGCAGGCCTTGCAGATATAGAGGCGATTTAGTGTGGATGGAAAGAGTTTAGTGAGACACCAGGGTGGAAATGGGTTTCCAAGTACATTGCCTGATGCTTTATTATTGGTCTTTCAGTTTTTTTCAGGAAGATCTTCATCTTGCAACTAGTAGGGCTGGTGCTATCCTACAATTTCACTGACTGTGACTTTGAAAAGATTAGAAAGAAATATCAGGAAGTCATTTATCAAGCCCTGGAGAAATATATGAATGGGGTAAGTGAAGAAACAGTTTTTAAAAAAACAAATGTGTTTTCATCAAAGAATAGGCATACCCATATACAAGCTACAGTTTAATTTTTAAGGAAAGAAAAATAATTTGGAAAAAATCATGGCCCAGCATTTTGTCAAAAATTTTTATAAGTGATATTTAAACATATTGGCTTCTCAAACAACTACCTAAAAATTGGCACACATTAAGTGTGCAGATACTGATAAGGAGCACACATATCTATCAAGGTGTCTATTCTCTGCCAAAGTCCTGCTCCATCAGTGCAATAGAAAGACAGTGGGAAAGAGCTTGAGAGAGAAAGGAGAGTAAAAACGAGGGAATTCTTGTGAACTAAGGCCTAACTAGAGATAATAGTCCTGGGAAAGGTGCATTTCGATGTGCATTAATGTGCTAGAAGCCTAAGAATACCACTATGGGATAAGGTGCTCTTCACAGTTTTAATATATAGTAGTAATCATTTTCCTGATTATTCTAATTTCTGGCTAGAGCATGCATGTGTGAAATGCATGAATGGCTACAAGGCAGATGAGGGCATTCAAAAAGATGGTATTGTTGCTCACTTCTGTAGTCCTATATACAAGTGTGCCCAGTTTGATTGTGGTGGGAGGGTCTCTCTTTAGGACCAGGATTCTTTGATATCTAGTTTCAAACAGTAACAGGCGCTATCTGAACTCAGAGGGTTTCACTGCCTTGTCAATGGCAAGAACAGATGCATAGGAAACAAGTGTCTAAGTGGTAACTGCTTTCAGAGCATCCTTAAAACCTGGGAGCAGGCAGCGGGGCTGGGGTGGGGGACTTATGATTTCCCTTTTGAACTAACTACCCTTCTTGTCATTTTTTTTCTTTCTTTCTTCCAGATCAAAAGCACCGAATTCAACAATCCCATCTATTGTGAAGACCCGGTGAGTGGGTGGACAGTACTGCTGGCTTTCTCCAGAGAAACACTAGGCATTCTCGGAAGAGGGTGTCCTCGCTGTGCGTAGAACCGCAGGCGGTGGCAAGGCTCCCAGGCGTCGCAGACCACGTAGGGAGGCGGGGCTGCCGGAAACCCCTGGGCCGGTGCCCAGCTTGGGATACTACTTCTGTTCCAATTTAGGGCAAGGAAGTCTCTACCCGAGCGAGCGGGTTTCCGGGAGAGTGCCCCCCCCCCCACCGCACCCCCCGCGCCCCTGGGAGGAAAGGCAAATCGGGAACCCGGACCAGGCAACCACGTCAGAGCCCCTCCCGAGGTGCACAGCCTCGGCTCTGGGCGCCGCCTCTTGGCAGTCGCCTAGGCGGGGAGACCCGGGCGGAGCGAGAACCTCAAAACGCCCTCTTCCCCCTCCCTCCATGGGTTCTTTCTCCCTCTCTTCCACCGAGACCTCTTCCTCCCGCTCGAAACGAGTTTGTTGTGGCTCCCGCTCCCCATCCTGCACCTCCCCCGCCGCATCTTTCATTCATTTCTTACCGACTGTGGGTTTTTGTTGTTGTTGTTTTGTTTTTGCTGTTTGTTTGTTTGTTTGTTTTTCCTGGTGTTTTTCTCTTTTCCCGTAAACCTTGCCGCCCGTGAGCAGCCGGATTGCCTTACTAAAATCGAACGCATTACCTTCTATCCCACCCACGGCTGCACGTCTCTCGCCAAGGAAATCTTTGCGATAGGAACTAATGCTACGCTCACTCTCCAGTGCCCAGGCTACTCCGGAATGCAGGTAAGCCAATATATTGGACTCTCGCTTTAGAATTAACCTTAGTTAAAGTGGGACTTGGTTGCAGAAGTCGTTACGATTTTTATTCGGGACCTATCTTTCCAAGAGCAAAGGAGCCAGGTAAAATCTGTAGATTTAGCCCCACGTTCACGCAGGGACCCCAAACCCATCTACTTCTAAGGTTCTGGTTGTCTGGGAAGCATCTGTAGTTCCAACTTTAGGCAGTATTTTAAATTATGATCAGTGAGTCTCCTCCGTCCTGGCTGGCCGAGCATGAGAGGGTGATTATCCACCCAAGGACCCAACCTAGACCTTCAAAATCACAATCCGGATGCATAGGCTCCTAATGAGATTATCACTTAATAATGTGTGCTTCTCTCTTAAAATGTTAAATTATACCTTTAATTTCTACCCACGTTTGCTTAATTGTTTGTATGGCTGTCTCTTTACATAATGGATTTTTGTATATGCAGTTATATGCATTTGAATGGATGTGTAACTTGAAATAGAAACAGTAGTGCAGAGTTAGGGGCAGGAAATCTGGAGAAGGTCTTGCCTGACTTTGAATCCTAGCCCCAAAACTTCTAACTTAACTTCTAGGCTCAGTGTGAGTTTCATCTGCAAAATGAGGGTCTTATTAGCAAATTCCATATAGAGTGTTTATGAGAAATAAACCAGTCAGTAGATGTTAAAGTACTTAGAGTAATGCCTGGCACATGACAAATCTTCAGTAAATACTTATGTCAGCAGGCAAGTAAAATAGGGCATTTTTCTCCCTGGTGACAAATTAAAAAAAGAGAAAAGAGAGACAAGAGCAGGAATATGTGACTACTGCCTGCCTATTAACTGGTGACCTTTCTCAGTCTGCACACTAAGTGTGTAGCTGCCTTGTCACTACTTTAGAGTTTGAAGATTAAGCCATATGGTCCATCCAGACTGGGCATGAGTTAAACACTCAATACCAGACAGCCATGTGAAAAACCTGTTTGGCTCTATGCTTTCTATCAAACAGACTGGCAAATCTACAGATGGCCGCAACTATATTCATCCACATGAAAAACATAGAAGACAATCTAGATCAAGTTCTGGACAGCTTGTGAAAAAGGGAAAGTCTGACTAATTTATTTCAGCCCCCTCCCAAGCCCAAAGGGAGAGCCTAAGTCTAATAATATTTATGATTCAACAGATTTTAGATTATAAGATTTTTGCTTAGTAACCTGATGAATTTGCTTGATCTCAATACTGTGTGTCTAGAAGGCCCAGTCTGCCACTACCCAAGAGTAATTCGGGTGAAGGAACACATAGGAAGATTATCACAATCTTTTTTTTTTTTTTTAAGTTAAACTCCTCTTTAGTCTGTGCACACGTAGGTAGTAGGTGGTGGGAGGGACAGAAAGGAGGAGAACTTTGGGTCCAAATAATAGGTCTACTGGATTATATCCATAAAGAGGCATACACTGTGTTTTTGAGGTACTTATGGCCTTGTCAGAGAGATCATGAAACCATCAACCGAATTATTTATTTAGTCATTCAATAAATATTCAACATTTCCTACGTAAAAGACATTGTGCTCAGCACTACAGGGAATACGCATGATGCAATAATAAAAATAGCACGTAAGTGCGAGCCAAGTTAAATGAAACACACTCCGAAGCACCAGAAGAGTTTCCAAAAGAAAAGTCTGAGCAGAGGCCTTGTAACGGAGGTGGTGCTTGGCCTTGAACCGAGAGTAGGCGGGTGGAGAGGTGGAAGGGCATTCCTCTGGAGAAAGCCCACAGGAGAAGCCAGTGAGTAGGTGTTTTGGCGACACACTTGAGAGATGGATTTGCGTAAAGAAAACCCTGCCATGGGGCGCCTGGGTGGCTCAGTGGGTTAAGCCTCTGCCCTCGGCTCAGGTCACGATTCCAGGGTCCTGGGATCGAGCCCCACATCGGACTCTCTGCTCAGCAGGGAGCCTGCTTCCTCCTCTCTCTCTGCCTGCCTCTCTGCCTACTTGTGATTTCTCTCTCTGTCAAATAAATAAATAAAATCTTAAAAAAAAAAAAAACAAAGAAAGAAAGAGAACCCTGCCATTCGATGGTTGTTAAAGATAGTGACAGTCCTGACCATTGATTCTCCTATTCCACAGACAAATAATACCCAGGCAAAGAAGAAAAGAAAGAAAAGAGAAGTCACAACGTATAAATGCCGGGAACAAGTTGCATACTTAATGGAACTGTGGCGTCGTTTCAGTCGTATTTCTTAGAAACAAAATACACCTTCCTTAAGGCTGTATTTCATAGCAACAAAATAAATCATCTTTATTAGGTAGATGTAATGTTAACTCTAACTGTGACATTTAAAAGACCACTGATAGTTATTTTTTAATTATGGTAGGGTTTCTTAACTTATTTTTGTAAGCTGTTGTTTGATGTGGGCAGGGGAAATACTATCCCTCAAATGGAGAGGGATGTAGTAGAGATGCCTGAGCCACTGGCTGTGTGAGGTGATTTTTGGCGCACCTACATAAGCCTTACTTCAAGGGAAGAATCTAAACACAACGTAGAAGGGGAAAGGAGAAAGTTAAAGCAAGAAAGCTTGAACTCAACAGCATGGAAACGTGTTTAAAAGGCAAGAATTTCTTCTACATGTACTGATAATTCTTATGTTCTCATACCAAAAACATACAAAAGAAGAAAATAAAAGCAAAAAGAGGGGCACAAAAAGTTGTACATCTAATGAAGCAATTTGAAAGAATTTCCAAGCAAAATATTGTAGAAGTATTGTAAATCAAGTTTTAAAAATTATCTGACAAGTTTTATATATATATATATATATATATATATATATATATATATGCAAGTAGTTTCTGAAGAAGTGCCTTTGTTAAAGCTAAAATATATATATTTTAACATTTATGGAATATATTTTTTATTTATTTATAAGCACTTTTAAAAATATACATATTGCTTTGTAATTGACACTATATATTTCTTAATAAAAATTCTCAAATTATCTTCTTATGAATGGTCTTTTTGGTATAGTTAGTAGACAGTTTCACACACAACTTTCTGAGGGATATCACTTTTTTTCAGGCCTTTTTTGAGGTCTAGTCTTAATTTCTATTAATTTACAATGTTTTTTACTGAAGTATAATTAACATATAACATTTTATTAGTTTCAGGTATTCAACATAGTGATTCAGTATTCATATTGCAAAGTGATTGTCACATCCTGATTAGTATCTGTCATGAAACTAATTTTTTTGTGATGAAAACTTTTAAGATCTACTTTTCTTCAGTCCATTATCTCCCCTCATCCTTGAATCCTACTGGCTACTCCCCTCCTGCTTTGTGCCTTAGCCCTGCCTATGGAGAGAACATTTGGGGAAAAGTGGCTTCAAGATTTATTCTAATTATCTTTCTCCTAAGTTGTGCCTCTAGTCCTCCCTTCCTTACGCTATTTAACTTCCCCCACATCTGGAAGAGACAATGGAGTCTAAAGTAAACAATGCCAAATCCATTCTCCTATTCTGGAATGCCTGCTGCCAACTAGAGCAGCAGGTACCCTCTCACTCACCTTCCTGTAGGAGGGGCCACCCTAGCCATAGAGCCCAGGCCAAAACGGAAAAGATAGCAGTATGTTGTTTTTTCCTTGAGTGGAAAATTTCCCCTGACCACTGCTCTGAGGGCTGGTGCTCACAGAAGAAGAGAGGTTCAAAGTTCCTAAATCCATTTTACCTGCCAACAGGTAAGAGGAAGCTTACATTATGTATCCAAAAAACATTTATGGAGCACCTAGTGTGTGCCATGCCTTCAGCCAAGTACCAGGAATACAAAAGTAAAACACAGCTTTTACCCAGAGAAACTCAGAGTGTTGCTGAATAGGCAGTTTCCTTTGCCCTGAGGGAATTTTCTTTGCCGTCTTTCCAAAATAAAGTCTTCTTTAAAAAGCCCAGGGCCCTAGGGGCACCTGGGTGGCTCAGTGGGTTAAGCCTCTGCTTTCAGCTCAGGTCATGATCTCAGGGACCTGGGATCGAGTCCCGCATAGGGCTCTCCGCTCAGCGGAGAACCTGCTTCCTCCTCTATCTCTCTCTCTGCCTGCCTCTCTGCCTACTTGTGATCTCTCTCTGTGAAATAAATAAATAAAATCTTTAAAAAAAAAAAAAAAAAGCCCAGGGCCCTAAATGTCATCATAAGAGAAACTCCTTTGGGTCTAGCATAGGCTAGTATTCATTAATTTCCTACGCAAAAGGTGGGAAAAGAGATGACAGTTTAAGCCTATTAGCTCCATTTTACTAGGTGAGCTGATGAGATTATACTAAACTGTGAAAAGAAATATTTTCACATTTTTTTCTCAAGGTGTTCTCCAATTTCCCTATAAGCAGAGAGGAATGAAGAACTGAAGATGGAAGAGGCAGCTCAAAGTCATCTGACTGAATGCAGTTTCTTTGAGTTTCCTGTTTTATCTTTAAAATTTTGTATAATTTATATATTTTATTTTTCTATGTACCCCATAAGTGTTTTAATACAAAAGTAATCGTTTTTAATTACTTGCTGTCAATAAAAGTAATGTGCAAGAAGATGCACCATATTAATCAAGTAAGAACTTTGCCAAGTGTAAAGAAAATGTGGATTATATATGTCTACTTTTTGAAATGCACTGAGGTTTTCAGGGTGAATTCGTATATAGTCCATTCTGTAAATGTTCCATGGTCTGTGGAAAGAAAGTTGCAAGATCTGGTTTAAGTGTATGTATCCACTGGAGCTCCTTTGTTGATTAGGCTATTGGTATCATCTATATCCTCATCTCATGAGATGGAAACAAAGAAGCACGCAGCAGCAATTGGCAGTTACCTTATGATCATCTTTCAGATGAAGCCGGGAATGGCAGAGAAATAAGATAGAAAGGACCTGAGGTTTCCAGCGCAAATGAATGGGTGGACCGACCAAACTTGAAATCCATCCTAATTTCCCACTGTGTGAGTGAGATGAGTAAAGGTTTGGTTTTGAGTTTGTGTGTATTGTTACCTATTGCTGAAAGAAGCAATTTATCTGAATGCTAAAAAGAGAGGCTCTGATTGAAGGAATAATTGGAAGTGGGGTTGGGTGTGGGGGTAGTGAGCAAGATGAAGCCAGGCCTTAATATCATGGGAAACAAAGCCTAATTTGTGACCTGGGATGGAAGAGGCAGTACTGGAGAAGTTGGCATATAAAAGAAATGCCACTCTTTAGCATATTTCATATTGCTTCCTCTAAACAAGTCTCTTCTTGCCTTGGAGATTATAGCTAAGCTGCTACTTTTCTAGAGTGTGCTCCCGGATGCCCTACTTTTATGACCCTCCTCTTCTATTCTCCCCTTCACTATTATGCTTCTTATGGGGAAGGAGATCGTAAGGGATTTCAGATTGTGTTGAGGATGAATTTAGACTGTGTTTGGAGCAGATATCTTAGATATGAAAATTTGTGGAATAATTTGGGGTAAATAGATCACTTGGATGTGGAATTTGAAGTAGTGAAATCTTATGAGTATGGCTCATATTTTGCCCTGGTACAATGTCTAACACACAGTGGATTCTCAGTAAATACGCTGAGTAAATGAACAAATGCATTAAATTGAAATTAAAAGTTAAATATCTGTTTCCCAAGAAGAAACTGTTCCTTAAAGGCTATCATGAGTCAAAAATGAAATTGGCAGCAGCAGTTATCAGATAAGCTATCTGGTGTCTGCCACCTGCTTTCTCCCCAACATTACTTCTGTAGTTATCTAAAAGGCAAAGAATTAGCATATTCTAAAATGAATCAATGTTGTTGCAGTCTGCCACTCTTCTCTACAGCCTTCCTTTAAAAAAAAAAAAAGATTTTATTTACTTATTTGACAGACAGAAATCACAAGTAGGCAGAGAGGTGGGCAGGTGGAAGACAGGTGGGGGGTGGTGGTGGGGGGGGGGGGGGGTGGGGTGGGGGGTGGGGGGGGGGGGTGGGGGGGGGTGGGGGGGTTGGGGGGGAAGCAGGCTCCCCACTGAGCAGAGATCCTGATGCAGGGTTCGATCCCAGGACTGTGAGATCATGACCTGAGCCGAAGGCAGAGGCTTAACTCACTGAGCCACCCCGGTGCCCCTACAGGCTTCTTTTTTTGTTTTTTTTTTTTTTTTTAAGATTTTATTTATTTGTCAGAGAGAGAGGGAGAGAGAGCAAGCACAGGCAGACAGAATGGCAGGCAGAGGCAGAGGGAGAAGCAGGCTCCCCACCGAGCAAGGAGCCCAATGTGGGACTGGATCCCAGGACACTGGGATCATGACCTGAGCCGAAGGCAGCTGCTTAACCAACTGAGCCACCCAGGCGTCCCCAGGCTTCTTTTTTTAACAACCCTCCTCTACCTACTCCCTCCCCCACAAAATGCAAAAGAAAGCATTCAAACATTAAACATCCACTAAGCCTTTATTTTGTGTCATCCCAGGGCACATAGCTGAGAACATGGATAACTTGAAAATCTTAAAATCCTACCAAAGGATATTTATCATTTACGAAACTTGTGTCCCTTACTTCCTGTAACACAGCCTTAATACTTCTATAAAGAAAAACATCCTACACTTAAAAAAAAAAAGATTTTATTTATTTATTTGACAGAGAGAGAGAGATCACAAGTAGGCAGAGAGGCAGGCAGAGAGAGAGGGAGACGTGCTCTCTGCTGAGCAGAGAGCCCAACACAGGACTCAATCCTGAGTCCCTGAGATCATGACCTGAGCCGAAGGCAGAGGCTTAATAACCCACTGAGTCACCCAGGCACCCTACACTTTTTCTTTAAATCATTTTTATGTGCTAACTTTCACATTTATCCAGAATTCATATAGATTCTCACCAGGTTTTGGTGAGATAATAACCATTAGTTCCCATTGGCTTGTGATATCAAGAGCTAGTTGTCAATCACGTTACAACTGGCAATGGCAAATCAGCTCCAGGTTTGTCCACATACCTTCTCATTCCAGGATCCAGGATGACAAAGCAGCCCTAGCTGGGATATGTCTTCCTCTTGTGGCAGAGAAGAAGATCAAGTGACTTGGCAGAAACATGCAATAACTCTTCAAGCTTCTGCTGGTACATAGTGTACATCATATATGCTCATGTGCAATGACCACAGCAAGTCAAATGTTCACTACCCTTGTTTACAAAGGATTTGTTATAAGCCCGGGCAAGAGGCAGCGATATAAATCTTGCTATAGGGAGGTAGCATAAACATTGGGAATCTTATGACAATACACACAGC